CTTTAAAAAATAAAATAAAATAAAATAAAATTGGGCATTTTAAGTAATATATTGTAGCAGATCTGGAACTGATTCCCTTTTCTCCTCTCTGGGGCTTGTTTGGTGACTTGGCTAGACTATTCTAGTGAAGTCTATTCCCCTACCTCCCCTCACCACACACACACAAAGGTGAAGTCTTTGGTGTCACTCCTCAGAGGGCACACCCTTGGGTTTGCAGACAGTCACTGCAGGATCACAGTTATTTTAGCAGGGCTCTCTTTGACTATCTTTCCATGCTCTCTCTGTTAATCTGTCTGCTTTATTTGGTATCACACCCAGATTTTGGGCTGAACTAATTGCTGGCTAATTGCTCTATTGTCTTTGACAATACCACAGGACATTAATTCCTCCACAGTCTGATCTAATTAATTTCAGGGAGGGATACTTATAAGGCCAGTCTTTGAGATTTCTTCTGACCCCAGGGAGATTCTTCTTAGCTGTCTCTTTCCATGGTTCTCTGTAGTGAACTTGCTGACCTGTGGTTTAATTTGTTGCTTTTAATGAAGAAGAGCTACTAGTCTTTTCTTATTTGCTTACCATCAAAGTCTCCATTGTTTTCAAGAATACCCTTAGGCTTGAGCCCCCTCCTCGCCCCCCCCATTGTTCCAGATAAAGTCAGTTCTTTTGGGGAGAGCTTCAGAGTTCTTGTTTCTTATGGAATGCCTTCTACCATAGGCAAAATCTCTTAGCTACTGATCCAAGTACTTGTAGGGGCAGTAGCCTCTCATCTTCTCAGCTTCCTTCTTTCTGCATGGAACCTCTTCCTTATAAACTAGCTGGGGTGAGGGTGGTCAAGACCCCAGTATTCTCAAGCTGCTGAATCTGGAATAGAGTCTCTGTCCTATGAGTAGAGGCTGGATGGAAAAACAGAACCCAATTTCTTGGCCATATTCATGAGGAATGTAGCCTCTTCAACTCAGAGTTGGAGAGGACAAGAAAAGTTGGTGATCTACACCTCCTGATACATATGTACATATGTACATATCATAAGATACATATCTCTTGATTGGGGGCTGAGGGTAAAGGGAGCCCCATCTTCTTGGTCACAGCTGCCTAGAGTAGGGCTTCCAGATTTTTTTTGAATACATTTCTTCATTTGCTATATGCCTTAGGACAATTTCCAGAGACTTTAAATGATTTTTTAAAAATATTTTTCACCACTTATGCTTATTTCTCTGGAGATCATGTCCATGGAACTTCCTTTAAGTTGCCCTCCAGGAAGTGAAATTCTATATATCTTTTTCATTAAATCCTAAACTTATTCATTTTAATGACACTTTCAGATTATTATACTAATTTCGTTTTTCTTTCTCAAGTAAATTCACCTCCTAGTAGTTAATTTTTAGGGCTACTGATTTTGTTTGTCTCCTCCTATATTTTGGAGTGTTAGTTTAAATTTCTCTTTAGTGAGAAGATCTGTCACTCTCTTTGCAGTCTAGATTCTATGATGTCTTTAATAGACCTTCCTAGGGCAGCCACTACAGAACCAAGTTTTACATTGACAATTTAGGATTCTTGTTTAATAGTGATACTAGGTGTATTTCAGATCCAGTGGGTACCTTTACTCAGATCCTATTTCTGAGGCTGTACTTCCTCCTGCTTCCATGCAGCTGTGTATAATTATAATTCCAAACATTGGCCACAACTTGTTTTGGCTTTCTCTCTTACGTGCAAGAACTTCAGCCCAGTCCATAGTTTCAAGCCTTGAACATAGCTGTTTCCCTTCCTCACATGGGGCATTTTTAGTCATCATTACCTGCTACATGCTTTAAATTGTCACTACTTCATATTTTTGTTCTGTGTCTGGTCCACAGCTATATTTACTTGTTTCTCGTGTGTGTGTGTGTTTGTCTGTGTTTGTAATATATCAATGCATGTGTTCAAATGAGAGAAGTGTTCTTAAATTATGACCTTATAGTGTGAGAGTCACAGGAACACTCACATAGATTTTAGGATGAAACCCTCAGCTAAGGCATGACTTTGCACATCTTTCTTGGATATACCTGCAGGTCATCAGACAAAATTTATTTTTTATTTTTATATAGTAATACATTTTTATTTTTCTCTTTATGCCCTTTTCTATTTCACTAAGCCAACCCTCTATACCCCAAAGAATCAAAAAATTATTTTCCAAATTATTCTTCTAACATTTTAACTCATGTATTTTTATATCAGTATATCAAATCATTATGGATTTTATTTTTACTATATTCTGGCATTATATTATATTTTCAGGGATAACTAATTATACCACTTATTAAATAATGTATTATTTAGCCATTGAAGTGAAAGGATACAGTAAGTTTCACCTCTGAATTATTTGGTGAATTTTGTTCCAAAACCATATTGTTTGATTATATGACTTTTGAGTAAGTTTCATTACCTGTTTCCTATAGTAGCTTTCCCAGAATTATTTTATGTTGAGTTTCTCCAGGAGCAGTTTTAAAAAGTAAAAAGAAAAAAAGTAATAATGTCACAATTCAAACTTGTTTTATCTCAAGTGAAATGCCCAGGAGAATATTAATTCTACTCTGGGCTTTTTGGTGTCAGGCCTTTGAACTCCATCAGGTGACCAAGAAGTCCATAAGCCCAGGAGCTCAAAGTGTGGAAATTGATGTGTTCCCTGAAGATGACATATGTTTGTCAGAAAAGGATCCCCAAAAGGTAATTTTCCCAGGGTGTTCCAGAAGGAACATGTAGCTTATCCATACACATTTTCCAACATAGCCATTATGGCTATCGAGATTAAAATATCAGGATTAATGCAGCGCAAACTGCCAGAATCGGATCTTAAGCAAAGGCGGCCAGGGTTTCTTAAACTCTCCACTATGACATTTGGGGCATGATAATTCCTCCTTGTGCTGGGCTGTTCTGTTTGTTGTAGGATGTTTAGCAGCATCCATGGCATCTACCCACCGATGTCAATAGTATCCCCCAGTTGTGAAATTAAAAGTGTCTTTAGACATTGTCAGCATGTCTCCTGGAGGGCAAAATCAATGAGAACCACTAGTCTAGACCTATTATTCCAGGAATTGAAAGAGCTAAAAATTAGTCTCAGTAAAATAGCCTTCACCACATCACCCAGCCTCCCTATTTGGAGTTAGGTAGTATCAGAGATATGATTTGTAGGGAGGAAAAGGTTGAGATACTGTGTCTTTATATACTTCACATTTTTTAAGCCAGGGGAGAGCAGTTAGAGAATTCTCTCCTGAAGTCAGAGCTAGTCATAGCATTTTAAAAAGCACCCGATAAGAGGGACACTTTCTAGATGCACCTATACCTAGAATCTTTTGCCTAGCTAGCTTCATTCCTAGAAAGTCATACACGAAGGTATTAGGTGCTACCATTGTGAGAGTCATTCTTGGTAAATGATTCCCCTTTTCCTTTGTTCTGTTGTGTAGAAGTGTGATACTACCAGTGTGCTCTCAGAATGTAGCACCGTCGATCCACAGGATCCCTTTGGGTGGGTGCCTGAAATGATTCCCAAAAAAGAACCAGAGAGATGTTTTCCCAAAGGTAAGTGACAGTATTCCTGCATCCAGTTCACAGAATACTGGATGAGATTCTGTTATTCTTTGAAGCTCTGTGATTTTGATAGATACCTTCTTTCTACTTCTACTGGAGACAGAAGTGAAGAGAGGGCAAACATAGATTCTTAGGGCCATTATCAGATCCAGGTAAAGGAGATTGCAGGAAATTCCTGATTTAGGTGGGCTCAACTAACACAGCCCAACAACCAGGGTAGAAACTCTAGAAAACTTCCCTCTAGAAAACTTTTCCCACTGGGCCAATATGTCTACCACTTTCTATAGTCCCCAGTACCTCCATTGTTAAGATGTAGTTGAGGTGGTAGACCAAGGGAAGCTGACCATAAGTCCAGGGTTGAATGGGGCCCTGCCAGATCCTCAACACATCCCTCAAGATTTTTCTCTGGAAGAAGGATAATATTGTAGTTAGGAGCTTTGGCTCTGGAGCTAGACTGCCTGAGCTCAATTCTGGCCTCTTCATTTACTAGCTGTATGACTTGATCAATTTGCTTAGCTTCTCTAGTGCCTCCTTTATAAAATGACTATAATAATATCTACTGCAAAGGATTATTGTTGGTCTTAAATGAGTGAATGTAAATCACCTAGAAGAATATCTGGCACATAATAGGCAATCAATAAATGCAGTCTTTCCTGATTCCTTGAGTGGATATAGTGGTTCCTTCTTATGTGCCTTTATTATTTCCTATATTCATTGTGGGAAATTTATTTGTATCTGTCTCTCTTGTGAGGTCCTTAAAAACATAGGCAGTGACTTAATCAATATTGTATCTCTAGTGTAAGAATGGACTCTTGCCCAGATTGTGGGCTCAACAAATTTAGATGGATAGATAGATAGAAACTTAAACAAATGAATCTAAAATTAAAAATTTCTTCGTAAGTTTGACACTAGTCTGGTCTCAGAATGGACACCAAGAATGAGTTTCAAACTTTTTGCAGGTTATTTGACAGCCCCCAAACTGCCCATGGGGTCAGAGGTCAGTCTAGGGATAGATTACTGTTAATTATCCTGACTTACATTTGGACTAGTGCTTGAGGTGTGTACAGGATGTCAACAATGAAGTTGGAGAAGAAAGGTTGGTTTCTAGAAGAAGGGAGGAATGGCATAAAAGACAGAAAAAAAGCCTTTTAGGGAGATTAACCTATTGATGTTCTGAATGATGGAGGAGGGCAGGGGCAGACTGAGGAGACCTCACAGTAGCTTAGGAAGATGATGAGGAAAGGAGTGGAATGTTAAAATCACCATGAAATTAACCTCCATGGAACTTGGAGGATGGGTGGAGGAGACAAGGTAGAAGGGTGATGTGATTCATGCTGAAGGCTGGAGTGTGTTGAGGTCAAATGCTTAGCTATGTGTACCTTGACAATTGATCAGATTGTGTGGTTTGGGTGGTTCACAGAGCCTGTGCCCATCTTTACCTCATTCCCCTCAGTCCTTAGGACACTGTTTACTGTTGCCAAAAGAAATTGCTGCATGACAAACAGCCATGAAGCCTCAGTGGCACACAATAATAAACATGCGTCTACATGACTCCACTCATCCAGGCTGGTTATTTCTGCTGATTTTGGCTGGCTTTATTCATATGAGTGGTAATGACTGGGAGTCGGCCAATCTGGTCTGGGCTTAACTGGGCCCCTTGGCTTACCTGGGCCCCTTGGCTCTGTACCACATGTCCATCCTTCTCCTGAAACCAGTGGGCTGGCCCAAATATTCCTTTCTTTATGGAGATGGTGCCAGAGAGCAAGGGGGAACATGCAAGGCCTCTCAAGGCTGAAGCTCAGAACTGGTGTGTGTGATTCCCACTCTGCTCTATTGGCCAAATCAAGTCATATGGCTGAGCCCAGATTCAGGGGTTGGAAAATGACTCCACCTCTTCAGTGGGAAGAATTGCAGAGGTAAGGGAGGTGCATAAAGGGAGGGTGAAGAGTTAGGGTTATTAATACAGCTCATTACAGACACTAAGAATAATGCTACTGCTCATTCCTTGCAGGCCTGGGTCACTGCTTCCCATGCTGTGCCATGGACAAGAGAAAGTCCCCCTGGATCATTTGGTGGAACCTGCGAAAAACTTGCTACCAAATAGTGAAACACAGCTTATTTGAGAGCTTTATTATCTTTGTGATTCTGCTGAGCAGTGGGGCACTGGTAAATTATCACAGTCTTGTGGGGACATTGGGCATCAGGTGGCCAGGCTACATTCTGACATGGGGCTGTGAATATGGGGAGACCAGGCAGAAGTGGGATCTTTGCTGCTGGTTCCCCTTGAGGGCAGGATTTTGCACAACTTCTGGAGTCCTGCTCCAACTGGGAAGTCCCAAGCCAAAGACACTTTACTTATGGGGAAGCATGATATAAATCAGCACTTTAAAGTGGCTACTGGAGTCTGGCCCTGAGCTCCATGCCTGTCCCTCATTCTTGGAGAATTTCTAGACATTTTCACTGTATCCTACATGTTTCTTCCTCTAGACAGCAATGTTCCTACCTCTCTTTTCTGGAAAACCATAATGCTGCTTTCCTAAAAGTAGAACATTAGGAGGAGAAGCCTACAGGGACCAGATTTGGATATATAATAAGTTGTCTTGGTATTGTCCATCAGTCATGGTCCTTTGAGAGGAGAAACAAACAGATACTGCTTTATTCACAGAGCAGATCCTTCCAGATTGAAGTGTAGTGGTCCCAGTGAGGTTTGGAAATAACTCTAAATCCATGCCTCCATAGCTTATAGTCGTAAACTCCTTCCTGCTCTCTCTCCTCACCTTTTGGTCCTTCTTGCCTCCCTTACTTGAGTGATAGTATCTTCTCTCTTACCACCTACATGTCTCTCTTTTTTCCTCCCTCCCCTTCTATCTTGTATTTTCCCTTAAAATAGCCATAATATAGAACTAAACTCTCTTACTATTTGTTGTATAAGTGAATGGAGTCTTAGGTTCCCCTTAGGTTCCCCATTATTGATTTAGAATCACAGAGCATTTCACAGACTCAAGTCACCAGCAATTAGAAGTGACAAGGAAATGTCTTGCTTCTTCACCATTGCCTCCCTGGTTAGTGCTGTACATTTGTGTGATCTCTAGGTGAAAGGAGATGAGCACACACTGAGGCCCATCAGAGCCTATGATCAGCACACATCTCCATTTATCTACTTACTGCAGTGTAAATTATTTCTCAAGCAAAAAAAAAAAAAAAGTAAATTTCTCTAAACCATGCCAGAGAACTCTCTTAATTAATTTTTATTGCTAATCCTTGGTCTAGGATTCCCTGTAGCCTTCTGGTGCTTACATTTTCACTGGATGTTTACTCTAATTCAAGTAATAGGATTCTTTAATTTATTCCACAAATGATAATTGGTGTTTACCAAGCCCTGAGCTAGTCAGTGGGAAAGCATGGTGTTATCAGAAGGTCAGGGACACATGATACCATCCTCCTAGTTCTCATCCGCCTTCTGATGAGGCAAGTGTAGGTTGGGCAGAGGAAGACTGAGCACACAATGCAGAGTGAGAAGGACTCAGGTCCTATTTCACTTTACATATTTGTAGACAAATGGAGATAAGAAACATCTAGTCCCTTGCCACTGTATGTGGTATATGGATCAGCAGTCTCAGTATCACTTGGAAGCTTGTTAGAAATGTAGTCTTGGGCCCACCCCAGACCCGCTGAATCAGAACCTAAGTGCTTTGGGACTCATTAGAGTTTGGGAAGCCCTGATCTGAGCAACTGGGTAATAATGAGAGCTTTCTGGACAAGGAAATGGTCTCATTATAATGTGGGAGCCTCCAAAGTTCAGTTGCCGATATTGACCTATTCTTCAATTGAACGAAGTCAGATCTGCTGAACCAGGTTGTTGCTCATCTTCCAAAATGAGAGAGGATATGAGCTTCCAATACCATTCAGATTTGTCTCTCTTCAAGAGGCACAAAGACAAGTCCTTGACTTCCAGGAGCGTGGAGTCTATTAGGGAAGACAGATGGGGTTCAAGCAATTATAGACCAGGGCCATAGTGATACACTCAGAGAAGCAATGGATGACATGGGTCCATGCAGAACAGGCACCTAATTGCCTTCGAGGAAGAAAGACAGTTTCCAAAGAAAATATCAACTGAAATGAGACTTTAATAATGATGAGGAGCCAGCAGGGGACAGGAGGAGATGGAGAGCCTTCTCCAATCAAAAGCCCACTTAGGAGTTGGAAGTCAGACTGTTTTATTCTTTTGCATTCTTTTTTCCCCCAGGACCATGGGGCTATGGGATTACCTTAGTACCCAACAGCAGGACCTATTTCTTTCTTGTCTTCAGTTTTTGCCTAAATGTCTTGACAGGTTCAGTACCAGGGACCCTTGTCTTCTTCTTCTTTTTTTTTTTTTTTCATTCTCAGTAACTCTGTAAAGGCCAAAAGGACAGCTTCTACCTGAGTTATATAGACCCCGAAGAATCACATACAAACTTCAGATGAGGGGGATGTTTGGATGTAGCATGAAAAAGGGTCTCTCCAGAAGCTAGGATGTCTCACTTTCATGATCACACTCAACGAATGTTTAATATTCAAAGTAATTTACACTGGAAGCTCTAGCCCAGAGCTTCCCCAAGTTTTGCATGTCTTGGTACACAAAAAATGGGCACATACACTGGAAGCACTGGGGTAAGTCGTAAGGCTGTTTGTTATAGATTGTTGGCCTCAGGGTTGGCAAAATCTAGAGTGTAGACCAAGGTGTTTGGAACTAGGGTATTATGAGCAATGGAGAGCCACTGAATAGAGCCACTAAGGTAACTAGGAGGATGAAAGAGATGGAATTTGCCACTGGGTGGTTCTGGAAAAGTTGGCAAGATATTGTTAGCATGAATTGGAAGGATCAGGAAGACCAGGAAATTGTGTGGTGATCTGTTAGGAAGATATTTTCATATTTCAGGGATCATTGATGAGAACCTAGGGAGATACTGTGGCAATAGAAGTCTAGAAATAGGATTTTCCTTCTTCCAGTTTTACTTACTCAAGGAATTTATTCTACTGCGAAATTTCATTCTTAATACCTTTTGAGCAAAACCTTGTCACCAAAAGAGATGCTAGTTTATTCAAATAAGGAAGAAAAATTAAAAAGTAAGGTCAGCAAGTAGTTCTAAGCAAATACTCAACCTGGCCTATGGCTATGCTTTATCATTTCAGGTATTTGAAGATGTTCACCTTGAGAAACGACCCAATATCCAAGCATTACTTAATTGTACTGACCATATTTTCACATACATTTTTATCCTGGAGATGGGTCTAAAATGGGTGGCCTTTGGATTTGGGAAGTATTTCACCAGTGTCTGGTGCTGGCTTGATTTCATCATTGTGATTGTAAGTTTACCATCTCTGTGTTCCATGCAGGCAGGGGTTGGGGTAGGGGAGGGGAAGATATCATAAGGAAGCTGCTTTTCCTGTGTGCCTTATTTGGGTGCCTCTCCAAAATATTTTTCTTCACAGTACTTGTAAGTAGTTGTCATTTATCCATCAGCAGTCCTGCTTGTCCTGGGTCCCATTCCTTACACTGCACTTCATATTCTCACTACCCCAATACTTTCCATGATGGCACTCATCCACTTCTCTCCATAAGCACTGCTTATGTCTGATGTATACCTAGAATAACTGAGTATCCCACCCGTCTCCTTCCAACTTTCTATTTTCTCTCAAGACTTCTCAAAGAAGGTCAGCAGCCAACAGACTAAGCTGGTCTCCATCTTAATTGTCAAGCAACATAAGAGGATTATTCACATACATTCTTTTTTTTTTTATTCTTATGTTAATCCCCATACATTA